TTTTTTTATTCTTTGAATTGCATTCCTAAATCAGAGTCCTATCACTTCTGTGAAGAACACTTTCATTTTGCTGCATGTGGATGGCAGTTGTTAGTTTAAAATTGCATTAAATTGTTAATAGTAGGCCGAGCATGGTGGCTCACTCCTATAACCCCAGCACTCTGGGAGACTGAGGTGGGTAGATTGCCTGAGCTCAGGAGTTTGAGACCAGACTGACCAAGAGTGAGGCACCATCTCTACTAAAAATAGAAAAACTAGCTGGGCATTGTGGTAGGCACCTGTAGTCCCAGCTACTGGAGAGGCTAAAGCAACGGAATTGATTGCTGAAGCCCAAGAGTTTGAGGTTGCTGTGAGCTGTGATGCCATGGCATTCCACTGAGGGGGACAGAATGAGACTCTGTCTCAAAATTAATGATAACAATAAAAATAAATAAATCATTAACGGTATGAGGTAGTACATTTGGCAGAAGAATAAACACAGATAGTGTATTTCTTCCACGGTCAAATAAGAGGCACATTTTGAAATCATCTTTCTCTCCTAAGATATAAGACACTAATTGAGGGAGGTTGATTGCTTCCCTGTTACAGGTTAAATTCCCTGTAACTATAAAGGCAGCACATTCATTCTATTCCTTCCAAGTTGGGAAACACAGCCTGGCATTTCTGCAGATTCTTCCTTCGGCAGGTGTGCCGAGGGTGTGGGGCATTTGAGGTGAGGCAGTATTATGCTCTTACTCTTCTAGGGCCCACCAAAGAAATGAGATCAACGGCATTACACTCTGTGTGTCTCAGACTAAGATGTCCACATGATTTGGTCTTCCTCTTAGGTCAGAACAGGGTTTCTCCCCCCCAGCACTACTGACACCTACACCAAATAATCCCTTTTGCCGTTGGGGCTGTCCCACGAATTGTAGGATGTTCAGCAGTGATCCTGGCTTCTGCCAACAAAACCCAGTGTGATAGTTCAGACAGTCGAAAATGCCTCCAGACATTGCCAGATGTCCTCTGGATGGGAGTGGGGGAGGGGGTGCGGGGGGCAGGCCTGCCCTGGTCGAGAGCCCCTGTGTAGAGGAGCAAACAGGTAGAATACCCAGTCCTATTCCTCCCAGTCCCCAGCGACTGTTCACCGAGACCAGCACAGCCAAACTGCAGGTCAAGCAACTCACAATGGGCGGTGCTGGCAATATGAGGCTCCCTGCTGCCTCCTGGTCTAGAATCGTCACTGTGGCAGTGGTCATGTCCCCAAGAACTGCTTCCACTGGGTCATCTGGTCCAAGGACTAGTGAGAAAGATTCATGCCATTCCCGGTCTTCATTGGACAGGATCTCGACTTTAAAAAAAATATGATCCACACCTTTGCCAAGGATAGAATGAGAAGAGAGCAAAGGCCTGGTTAGGGGACATCACCAAGAGAGTGCAGGCTGGCTCTGCTATCATGGTAAAATGTGCCCTTTCTTTTCAGTGATTTCTTATAAACGTGGTGGCTGCTGATCACTTAGCCCCATCTGCAGTGAGTAATCTGTTTTACAGACCAAATTCCACCCGTGGTCGCTGCTCAGTACTGCAGATTTACTACTCAACACCGTCTGACGATTAATGGCCCCTGCCTGATGCTGGCTGGCAGTAATAAAAATCTATGATCCAAAATACACCTCACCCTGGTTAGGAGATTTTTTGCTTAATTTTTCTTCCCCCTTACATTCATGCACAAGCTCCTGTTTGGCTGTGAGTACCTGTGCACACCCCTCGAGGTATCCCCCGTGAAGAGCAGCTCAGAGGTTACCTGCCACCACAAGGACAGTGATGTGGAGGGTGAGTGGTGGGAAGGGGGTGAGGGCTCAAACCTGAGAGACCTCCTTTCTTTTCTGCAAAATGATTCCCTAAAGGTGAAAATATCCCTGGTGGAGTTAAGGTCCCCTTCATCCCCTCCCGCAGACATCTGGGCTAGGTCACTGCTTCTAGACCTATGGGTTGAGATCCCTTTGAGGGTCAAATGACTGTTTCACAGGGGTCGCCTAAATACACCCTGCATATCAGATATTTACATTATGATTCATAACAGTAGCAAAATTACAGTTATGAAGTAACAATGAAAATAATTTTATGGTTGGGGGTCACCACAACATGAGGAACTGTATTAAAGGGCTGTGGCATTAGGAAGGTTGAGAACCACTGCTCTAGACCTATCTTTCCCCCAGATCCTTATGTAGAAGAGGAATAAAGAAAGACAGGTGGGGAAGGAGGACATCACTTTTCCAGGAAACATCAACCAGACACACCTGCAGACACAGCTGCAAACCTGTACCACTCCAGGGAGGCAGGAGGAATACACAGAGAGCTCTACCCCAGCCCCCTCATTTTGGAGGGAGTCATTCTCTCTCTCTACTGGCCAAGACCTCTCTGACCAGTTGTTGCCCATTGCTGGGTACTCTGAGAATGGTGCCATGATCTTGACCCATGAAAAACAACCTACCACACAATTTGACCTGTTTCCTATCTCACTCCCTTCATCCCCCATCACATTAATTTATCTAACAGTTAAACAGCTAGTTGGGACCTGAATCCCACTCTCTGAGATAAAGCTGTTTTGGAAAGCCCAAAAGCACATCCCATTTCTCAGTAGCTGTTAACCCACCTGCAGGCACAGATTGTGCCTTCCAGACTTTAGTTATCCTGGAAAGACCTAGCCTAGGGCTTTGCCCCAATGTTTGCCAAACACCAGCAGTCATGTGCATTTTTTTTAATTAAATCAAGTGCTATCAACTCAACTAAATCTTAAGCTCACCAAAAAAAATATTTTTAAAAGAACCCAGATGCACAGCATGATCTGACATTAAGGGATCTATTTTTTTCTTGCCGTTGTTACTAATTAAAAATTTTACCTGTAATCTCACATGTGTGCTTAATAAGTGCTTCATGCTGTTGGAACTACTGTTTCCCTTTTTGTGTTTTTCTGCTTATTCCTCCTTAAATCAGTGGTTCTCAACCTTCCTAATGCCACGAACCTTTAATACAGTTCCTGTGGGTCGTGACCCACAGGTTGAGAACCGCTGCTTTAAATACAAGGCATTGTCTATTAAACCCTCAGATTGGGATTGGCGTTCATTTACCAGGACTGAACTTTAGGACGCGGCTCTTCGGGTAATAATCTACACCAGACTGGGCAGACCCGTCCCGCGTGCTACAGCGAATCTTGGAGGTCCTGTTCAGATCCCCTCTGCGGATCACCTTGACATTCAGAATTGCAATGGCATCTGGCCCCGCAGGTTCCCGAACTTGGTACGCAGCTTCTTCAAATTCAATGGTGGGGGCTAAGGAAGCAAAAACAAGAGAGTTAGAATAGCGCAGAGGACTCGGACTCCCAGGAAAACACCTTATCATGGAAAGAGGGAATTGTTTACATTAGGTAACAATACAAAGGCAAAAGGGCTTCTGGACATAAAACTCAATCAGTATTTCCCACTAAGCCATGTTTTGGAAAAATAAATCTATCTGTGACCCTGTAGGAGTTATTTTTCACACATTCCGTATGAAAAGCGATACAATGGGGCAAATATTTTTCGAGACTTTGAAATGCATGATGTCCAAGTTCCCATGATGGCCTCAGAATTCACTGAGTGTTTTTAAATTTGTACAGTTTATTAAGGTACTGAGATATGGCAGGCGTTTGATAAATATCTGTTGCATCAGTCAGCTTTTCACTTATGAAATGTGAATTTCTCAGGCTTGTAATTCAACTCTTTTATGTACTACTTACATTTGCCCAGTTCTTCTCTCATCTGGTCTTTTGGATACTCCCAGCCCATGTTCTCACTGCTCTATCCTCAGCTTTTCCTAACTTTTCTTGAGCTATATAACAAAATGTGGATATTTTCAGTGCCTGGCTACAAGAATAATTAAGGAACACAAGACTTCCTAATGCAGTGTTCTCAACCCTCCTAATGCTGCGGCCCTGTAATGACAGTTCCTGTGTGTTGCTACCTGCAGGTTGAGAACTGCTGTCCTATGCAAACTGCTTTGAGGTACTGTTCTCATTGCTAGGAAATTATTAATATCATGTAATAATTTATCAATTTTTACCAGAATATTCAAATCATACCCTCTTTTCTATATCTCACAGGGAAGGGCGGGGTGGTGGTGCAAGAGAGAATAAGATAAAAAGATGGAAAATTTGAGAGTAATTACACATTTTATACCATTTTTAGTATACATTATAGAATATTGCCAAAATTTCTAATCTTTATGTTTGTTTCATTCTCTTTACCTTTTATTATTTATTTATTTATTTATTTGAGACAGAGTCTCACTATGTTGCCCTGGGTAGAGTGCTATTGGCCATCACAGCTCACAGCAACCTCCAACTCCTGGGCTCAAGCGATTCTCTTGCCTTAGCCTCCCAAGCAGCTGGGACTACAGGCTCCCGCCACAATGCCAGCTATTTTTTGTTGTTGTAATTGTCATTGTTGTATGGCAGGCCTGGGCTGGATTCGAACCGATAGCTCTGGAGTATGTGGCTGGGGCCCAAGCCTCTTGAGCTACAGAAGCCGAGCCCTCTTTACCTTTTAGAAACTCAAACCTTTCTAATTGTAGAAGATAACCCTCATTTGTGACTTCATAGTTTTCAATAAGAATGCTCTTTGAAGCCTAAGAGGGTTGTTGCAACATAGTGTAAATTTGTTACCCATTAGAGCCTCAATCACTGGGTTTTCTGGGTGCCTGGGACAGGTTCACTTTGGGCTTTGATCCTGAGTTTCCTTGGGTAAAGGACTAATTTAACTTCAAGACAGGCTTTTCTTATTTTATACAATGTCCAAGTTAGCTCCTAATTTTTAATTAGAAACCCAAAGTTTCTCTCTGACTCTCATGGTAGTTACAATTATACATTCTAGAATCAGATACAATATGGTTTACATCCAGTTTTGCTATATAGAGTTATGTAACCAAGAGTATAATTTATATACTTTGCTGAGGTTCACCCAGTCTATAGGGATAATCACACCTACCTCAAGGGATTACTTTCAGGATTAAATTAAATAATATAAATGGTTATCATAATTCTTGGCATACAGCAAATATTCAATAAAAACACTTATTATGTCTAACAGTATCTCTTCACTTATTAAAATATCTATTTTAGAAAAAAAAAATTATGTCCCAATTTGAAGCAAGGTTTGTCTTCCTTGATGCCTGAGCCATTCTTTGACAACCCTGACTATAGAGTTTAAATTTTTTTAGGTTAGTAGGCTAAATCCATTAGAGAGAAGAAAACTGAGAAATTAAGACTTTTCTGGGAAGGTGGCATGTTTTAGATCAGTTCAGGCAACTGTATTTGCAGTCCTGCTCCTGAACTACAGGGATTTACATGGTTTTAATTCTCTGTTTTAGCATTTCTGTCCTTGCCTTTAAACAGACCCATTCCTTATCTCTCGGCAATGTGGTGGGGAGCAACGAGATTAAAAATACCCATGACCTTACTGGAGTTCTATACAAATGGATCGTTTGGGCCAATATTTTATATATTTATAGATGGCCATTTGTAGGCACTCTTACAGCACTTGCATTTCTCAAAACACTAATAATCACATTATTAAGAAAATGTTAGTTTATGTCCCCTCATCCTAAGAGGAGCTTCTGTTACCATCTTCATCATTGGATATGGTGATGGTGACCATGGTATTCTTTCCAATTCTAGCTCCACTCCAGTGGTTTCCAAGAGGATGTCCGAGGTAGACCCTGAACTGTTCCTCTGGCTCAAACATGGAGTCATCGTGGATATAGACAGTACAGTTCTTCACCTACAGTCATGGACACAAGATAAATTACAATTTATAGCAAGATATCAGTGAGCTGATACAAATTTAAAAGGTTTTGTTCATAAAATAGAATGTCTAAATTTAATCATTCATGCCTAACTGTGACCTACATATATCTGAAGACTTGTGTTAGAACTTTCCAAACCATTCTGAATTACTGGTGATGAGATATAAAAAACAGGAGCAATGTATATCATGAAATACTCTTCAGTCATAAAAAAGATGAAGACTTTATACTTTTTGTATTTACCTGGGTGGAGCTAAAGAATGTCCTTCTTAGTAAAGTGCCCCAAGAATGGAAAAACAAACATCTTGGCTTGGTACCCGTAGCACACTGGTTATGGTGCCAGCCACAATGCACTGAGGCTGGTGGGTTGGAACCTGGCCCGGGCCAGCTAAGCAACAATGACAACTACAACAAAAAATAGCCAGGCATTGTGGCAGGTGCCTGTAGTCCCAGCTCCTTGGGACACTGAGACAAGAGAATCACTTAAGCCTAAGAGTTTGAGGTTGCTGTGAGCTGTGACGCCATAGCACTCTACCAAGCACAACATAGTGAGACCTTGTCTCAAAAAAAAAACCAAAATAAAATAAAAACATCTATGTACTCAATATTAATTTGAAACTAGTAGATTAACAACTACACGCCCACATGCAAGGAAAAACAATTAAATTCAAGAAAAGGGGAGGAAGATGGGGATAAGGGTGTCAGTAAGCTCCGTCCTACCTACGGAGTGTGACATAGGAGTGTATGGCACACCTGCTGGGTGAAGGGCTCAGCTACAACGCAGAGGTTTCCTAACACATACAAACAATGTAACCTAATCATATGCACCCTTATATTAATCTGAAATAAAAAAAAATAGAATTTAGAATCAATTTTCAGCAACCCCCCCAAAAATAAAAAAATAAAATAGTGGCTCTTCAAAGAGAGAGAAAGAGAGAGAGGAAGAAAAAAAAAAAACAGAAAAAGAAGATCCGTAAACAGCCCTCTCAAAAGCACCTGTAGAAAATTTGTGTGCTTCCCCACGTTTTGTTTGCTTGATACATTTGTACATATTATAACAGGTGGATTTCTGATGATAGGAGTTTAACATATTGATTAAACTTCCTGGAGAGCTGAATAATGTTATTTTTTTTCTTTGTAAAAATTAAATAGTATTATAAGGAACTCAGAAAGGCTTCACGTTAGGTTAAAGATACTTTTAAATGCTAAAGAATTCTCAAATCTGCTTCATCTCATCTGAAAACTGCTGATTCCTGAAAGTCTGAGAGCACAATCCAGACCCCTTCTGGATGGAAAGAAATGAAATATTTCCCAAATGGAATATTCTCTAGTGAGGACTGTATCTGTGAGAAAATGTAAAATAAGGTCACAACATCTTAGATGACACAGCAGCCTCAATAGTAGAGTTATGTGATGAGAAGTGGGATATTTTTAGTTGGACAATTTAAAATCCACTATCCAAGAGCATTGCAAGGGCTATGTGAGCAGAGAGAAGTTTCACTCTCACACCTCCTCAGTCAGACTGACTGGTGGGAGGGCAGCCCTCGGGGCATTTCTGTGTGACCTGCTAACCTAGTTTTACCCTGCCAACCTAGTTTTACCTCCTAAAGAATTTTGTGGGTTTTTTTTCTCTCCCATCTTTCTTACAGTAAGAATTCCTTATGGAAAGCACACATTTAGTAGTTACTCTTCAGATCTTAAAAAATAAAAAGGATGGTTCAGCCACCTGTCTCAGCGTGTAGGGTGCTGGCCACATACACTGGAGCTGGCGGGTTCCAACCCAGCCTGGGCCCACCAAACAAAAATGACAATTGCAACCAAAAAATAGCCGAGTGTTGTGACAGATGCCTATTGTCCCAGCTTCTTGGGAGGCTGAAGCAAGAGAATCACTTAAGTCCAAGAGCTGGAGGTTGCTGTGAGCCGTGACACCATGACACTGTACCCAGGGGAACATAGTAAGACTCTGTCTCAAAAAAAAAAAAAAAAGACATTTTCTTGAACGACAAGTTACAGAGACATGTGGTTAACAAGGCAAAGAAAATGAAGATTCCAAAATGTGCTTGGAAATAATAACAGATTATCCCATGTGTAAAATATAGATTATTATGCTGTATCTTCCTTATAATTTTATTAAATTAAAAACTATCTCTGGGATAGGCAGAGAATTATCTTTTGAACTTAAGACAAATGCAGACATGCAGATTCAAGGCTAATGATTATATCTATAGCATTTGTGTTTTAGAATACATGTTTTAGCAAAGTAAAACTCCCATAAGGTATGTAACAAAGACAAGGCTTTGTGATTCCGAGGTGTGTAAATGTCGTGAGATCCCTGAAGAAGGGAGCTATCACTGCTTTTGGTAGTAAAGATGGACAGAAGGAAGAATCTGGGGGGTCTGCTGTGGGGATGGTTTTCTGATGCGAAACTTCCAAAGGACTATCACAAGGCAAAATGTTGATACATTTGATTCTATCAAAATTGAAGATTTCTGTTCAACTAAGAACACCATATTCGAAGGTAACAGATAAGTGGCAGAGAGAGAAAAGATGTCTAAAATATCTAAAATGTCTAAAACTGGAAAGAAATTAATATTTAGGATATACCAGAAAGTGTGACAAATCAATGAGAAAAAGACAATACAATAAAATAGGGAACAAAGGATAATAACAGTCTTCTAAGCTAATTGGAAATTCACTAAGCTAACAGGCATATAAAATATTAGCAAGTAGAGAAATATGAATTCAAATGAAATATAAGTATATATATGAAATTAGCAAAAATTCAAAAGGTGAATAATGCTAAGTGGTAGAGAGGATATAGGGTTATAGCAACCCTCATGCACTTCTAGCGATATTCTGGGAGGTATTCTGACACAATTATTTCAATTAAGCATATGGGTGTCCTGCAGTCCAGCAATTTTTCATCTACACATGGAAATTCTCACTCAGGTCTTAGTGGACGTGTATGAGGATGTGCACAGAAGTGTCATTTATGGAAACGGAGTGTTAGGAGGCAAGTGGGCACCACCACTGATGTTCCAAACAGCTGCCTGCTGTGAGCATGTGGGTAACAGATGGTAGAGATGCACCATGAAATATTAAGAACTAAGAGATTAGATGGATATGGAAACAACACAGAAAGATGTTAAAACATACTGCTGAGTAAAATCAGCAAAAGATAAAGAGCTAGCACAGTAGCATGTCATAAATTAATAATCGCACACACAAAGGAATAAGGATTTCTTAAGAATAAATACAAACTAAGAGAGACACGTTAAATAAGACTGACAGGTGGGGAAGATCATGTGACTGGAGATGGGGGTAAAAGGAATAAACCAACCAAAATAAGAGCAGGGGCTTGTACCAACCAATGAGGACATGTGCCTTGAACCAAGGGGTGCAACTGACTCAATTATCTGAAACTGGGATTAAAAAAATGAGGAAATGTGATTCTGACTCAGTATGTACCTCTGACGTACACCGAGGTGGCAGGTTTTGATTCTGGTGCAGCCATATTTAGTGGTGAGTTTCTATATTCATACGCATGGCTTCTCATGCACACCTCCAAGAGAATACGCCATTGACTTTAATCTGCTCAACATCTAACGTGGTTCTACGCTAAGATGTGTGTTGCCCTGGGATGGGGGTGCAGGCGCTAGAGAACTGTCTCTTTCTCTCTAAGTAACCCTGGTGGACTATGCTCATCTCTCACAGAGTTTTAGATTCATTTGATTCTGCTGAGTTCTAAACATGTCACAGTCATCTAAACTTCCCAGCTCAACCAAGCTATGTATATCTGGTGGTAAGTGGAAGACAAAGAAGGAACAGACGACGTTATTGAAACTACTATCCATTACAGCTGACCCTTGGACAACAAAGGTCTAGACTACGCAGACCCGCTTAGATGTAAACTATCTTACACCTCTGCTGTTCTGACGTGGCGAGACCAACCCCTCCTCTTCTTCCTTTCCTTTAGCTGACCCAGCATGAAGACTTTTATGATGATCCACGATTTCACTTAATGAACAGTGAATATATTTTATTTTTCTTAGGATTTTCTAAACATTTTTTTCTATCCAGCTACTTTACTGTAAGAATATGGTATACAACACAAATAACATGCAAAACACATGTTAATGGAGTGTTTATAAGTAAGGTTGCCAGTAAACCATAGGCTATTAGTAGTTAAGTTTGGGGGGAATGAAAAGTTACACACAAATTTCTGACTGTACAGGGGCTCAGCATCCCTCACCCCTCCATTATTCAGGGCTCAACTTAAATAAGAAAATCTTGAAAATTCTTGGAACTTGTCTGAATTATTTCACTGTAGACCAAGGCACCAAGGAAGAAGAGAATCCCATCTCTCAGCTACCACGGAATCCACTTACCTTCTCCCCTTTCAGAAATGTAATCCGTGAAGAATCTGCATCTCGTCTCTCTTCAAAGTCCTCGGTGACCTGAGCAGAGTGGCTCTGAGTGTAACACCTCACTGAGGACTCGTAGCTCAGATCTCCGCTCCGGATGATGGGAATGTGCAGGACTCCCTCCTTCTCCCCCACCAGGAGCAAGTCCTTAGTAAACTGCATGCTGGGCACTGGGTGGGCAGACAGGAAGACAGGCACTGTTAGTGGGAGACGCAGGGGTGCAGGGCCACAGGCCTTCTCAGTCCCTACTTGGCCACTTGGCAGCAGGAGTCCATGGACGGTCAGCGTAGGCTGGCAAGTCACAGTGATAAGTGAATTTCAAAACATGCTGCCGTTCTTCCAGATAAGAGAACTGCTTTCACTGTGAGTATGGTGTCAATGAACTAGAATAAATTAATTTTGCACCTGCCTTCATTCAATTTCAAGATGGATCACCATCTCAAATATAGGCAGGTAATGGAAGCAAAGAAATGGGACAGGTGTGAGAAAAATTTTGATAGTGACTTGAGTACTCAAAAGAGTTCACTTTCCTTCTTAGGGCTCCAAGAAGGAAACAGCAGGGCAAGTCTCGAGGTGGGGCCAGGGGTACCGTAGGGAAGGGTGGGGACATGGTGAAGGAGGGGAGGACAGCTTCTGCTTAGAGGGCGGAGGTGTTTTGTTGCCAGATCTTTTTATTTTCAAACCAAGCCAGCGGTCTGGATTTTTATGTGATAGCTCCCAGATTTTAAAAAAGCAAACAAAATAATCAAAGGAAATTCCCTGTAATCCAAAGCTATTTGGGTCTAATACAACACGTCCACAGGCTGACTGGCCAGCGGGCCCTCATCTGCACCCTCTCCTACAGAGTCACTGCTCCTTCGGAGACTCAAATCCTCACTTGACTTCAGGAAGTTACCACAGCCAAATCGTGGTTAAAAACCAGGACTTCAGATGAGACAGGCCAGAATTTCCTTTCCAGCCCTGTTTCTTATTAGCAGTTACATATGGCCATGTTACTTAGATTTCCTGAGCCTTGGGATTTTTTTTCATATATAAACTGGAAATACTAGTATCTAACATAGAATTGTTGGTAGGATCGAATTTAAGGAGATAATAAATGCGTGATACCCAATATCACGCCTGGCTTATAGTAGGCACTCAGATTTCGATAGGAATTAATATATCACAGTTTGTAGTTGACCGCCAACTCCAGGATTCTCAATACGAAGGATCTTTTTTTTCGCTTTACTTCCTAAAATATCTACTATAATGTTCTGTATTAAGATATTTCTCTTTCCAAGCCCAGTGTTTTATTGACTGCTGGTTACTAATTTCTTTATAAACACTGCAAAGAGTCATATGTCAAAGCCTCCTAAGGAAGAACTAAGTCTCTGGGGTGGTAGGACGCTGGCCACCTCCTGGGTGTGCCCTGTGGAACCTGAAAGGAAGGACCGGGGGTGGGCATAAGCACCCACATATTCCACAACTCAGTTCGTGGGAAGCTGTTTGCTTTCAACCTACCCCCTCTGAGAACTATTGGCTCTGGCTAAAAGCAAACCATCCCATCATCTGGGGAAACCTTCATGGTTGCTAATTATATTAATAATATCACTAAATAAAAAGCCAAAAGATAACCTTTTAAAAGAACACCAGACCTAAAGAAAATGGGACCTCTGTGGTGTGAGGTCCTGTATGTCACCCAGGAAAGTGCTCTGGGCTGTTAACAGGTGGGTGGCAATGACACCACAGAGCAGAGGAGGACAGGAAAGGAGCTTGGAGCTCCCTGCTGGGAAAAGGCAACACAAGCAAGGAAGCTTTTCTGCTTACTGCTGATGTCTGAGGCTTAGATGGACTTCCCTTACTGGCCTGACAGGCCACAAGCTGAGAAAGTTAAAGGCTAAAGTGGTTGTGTTTAGGTATTGTCATGCATTAATCAATGCTGAGTTCCTCCTGAGCTGAAGAGACTCCTTTGTCTCCCCCTTTAACAAGATACTCGCCCTCACTTCTATCCCTGTATGGGGAGGGAGGCAGGGAGAAGACAGAGAGAAAGAAAGAGAAAAGGAAGGAAGTGGCCAGGTCTCCTGATCGCCTGTCCAGAAGTCGTCAGCCCTTAGGCAGAGCCCAGAGGCAGAGCCCAGCAGCCCAGCCCAGCAGCCCAGCCCAGCTCCAATAGGTCTATGCACAGGGTTAAGGTGTCAGCCAGGCATGTGTCCGGGCCTTTCATCTTTCATACATATTATTTAAGCGTTTTCTGAGCAACCTGGAAGGCAGTGCAGTCCCCAGGAAGTGGCAGCCCTGGCCCTGGGAGTCAGTTTCCCTGACCACAGAGCCCCTCTCTTTCCACACTGATGGGGAAAAAACCTGTATGATGGAGGTCACCCCACCACGGCAATGGGCTCACACTGGTTATGCTGCACTCGTTGTTAGCACTTCTCATAGAACTCTGATTGTACATGGCCCATTTACAGCTCAAGCCTATAACCCAAGCACTCCAGGAAGCTGAGGTGGGTCAACAGTGAGACCCCGTCTCTAAAACTAGCTGGGTGTCATGGCAGGCACCTGTAGTCTCAGCTACTGGGGAAGCTGAGGCAAAAGGATTGCCTGTGCCCAAGACTTTGAGGTTGCTGTGAGCTATGACGTCACAGCACTCTACTGAGGGCAACAAAGTGAGACTCTGCCTCAAAAAAAAAAAAAAAAAAAAGAAAGAGAAAAGGAAAGGGAAGGGAAGGGAAGAGAAGAAAGGAAAAGAAAAGGTAGCATGGTAGGATATGAAACCAGAAGGTTGGACTTGGATAGAGAAACCTGGGTTTTAATTAGGGCTTCGTTATCTCCATTCTGTATGATCTATATAGATTATTCAACCTCAATGCCACAAGCTGAAGGATGGCTATAAGAATTAGACATAACGTATGTAGGACCTTTCCACCCTAGAACTGTACATCAGACAGACTCAACAAAAGTTAGTTATTACTAGGAAAAAAGAAAAACTTTAGACATACATGTTGGTTTCTCCAGATATTAATACTACACTTCGGGTGTTTTGCTTATTTCCACTGATTTTCAGTTTCCTTATCTACTAAATAAAAACAAAAGTAAAATCACGGGGTTTTAAGCATGTGAATTATGTTTAATGGATCGCTCTGTAGACTCTGAAGTAACATGCAATATTAAATAGTGTAATTGTTATAAATCTTGTTTGTGGTTTAAAAGTCAATATTTTGTGAATCACAGACATAAATGTAAACTTGAAGCTATAAAACTTCTGTATCCTTCGGATAGGCAAAGATTTTCTGAGCTACAACACTAAAAATATGATCTGTAATAGAAAAATTGATAAATGGGACTGCTTCAAAATGAAAAACGATGGCTCTTTGAGAGACATTGTTTACAGAACAAAAAGACAAGCAACAAATTGGGATAAAATATTTGTAAAACACAGATCTTTGTCCAGAATCTACAACAATGCAATAATAAAGGAAAAACAAGTCAAAAATAGGGCAAATATTAGAATTCCACTTCACTAAAGAAGATGTATGGATGGCACAAACACACAAAAAGGTGCCAATGTCATTAGTCAACGAGAAATCACTTTATCTGTTTATTTATTTGGAGACAGAGTCTCACTGTCACCCTAGCTAGACACGGTGCATGGAGTTATCAAATAATAGCTAATAGCAACCTCGAACTCTTGGTGTCAAGTGCCTGCCTGTGCCTCCCAAATAGCTGGGACTACAAGTGCCTGCTACCACACCTGGCTAATTTTTCTATTTTTTGTAGAGATGAGGTCTCGCTTTGCTCAGGCTAGTCTTGAACTGCTAAGCTCAAGGGATCCTCCTGCCTCAGCCTCCCAGAGTGTTAGGATTACAGGCATGAAACACTGTGTCCAACCAGGGAAATCACTTTAAACCACAAGATATCACTACATACCTATTAGAATAACTTTATCGTTTCGATTTTAGTATATGTGCTGCTGAAGCAAGCACTAGAATAACTTTTAAAAAACACTAAAAGGTGACAATATCAAACGTACACTTACCATGTCACCCATCAACCTCCTTCCTAAGTATTTATCCCAGAGAAATGAAAACCTACATTCACATAAAAACCTATGTGCAAATAATTGTATCCTCTTCAGTCATAATTGCCAAAATCTTGAAGCAATCTAAATGTCATTCAACAGATGAATGGCTAAACAAACTCTGGTATGTCCACACAATGGAAACCATTCAGTAATAAATGAAATGAACTACTCATATATGTAAGATCATGCAGAACTCTCAAAGGCATCTTTCTAAGAAACCAAACTCAAAATGGCACATAGCATGGTTCCAATTACATGACATTCTAGAAAAGGCAAAATAACAGGAACAGAAAACAGATCAGTGGCTGCCAGGGCTTGCGCCTGGAGAGAGGCTGACTACAAAGGGGCATGAGAGAATTCTGTGGAGTGCGGAACTGTTCAACATCTGGATTGTGGCGGTGAGCACATCACTGCACGCATTTGCCAAAACTCAGAGAACGGTACACTAAATAGGGTGAGTTTTCATTTATGAAAGTTATACTTCCATAAACTTGGCTTTCAAATAACTTACCATTATTCTGGATGCAGGTGTATATGTATGTGTGTATGATATACATATATGTATGTATATAAATATATATAAATATATATATTTTCCTCCTAGAGGAAACAAAAAACCTGGCTAAAATGGTGTCTCTAGGCCAGGTGCAATGGCTCACAGCTGTAATCCCAGCAATGTGGGAGGCCAAGGCAGGAGGATTGTTTGAGCTCAGGAGTTTGAAACTAGCCTAAGCAAAGTGAGACTCTGTCTCCACTAAAAATAGAAAAAACTTTGCCAGGGTGGTAGCAGGTGTCTGTAGTCCCAGCCACCTGGGATTCCTCCTACTATGTGGGAGGCTGAACTGGGAGGATCACTTGAGCCTGGGAGTTTGAGGTTGCTGTGAGCTAGGCTGATGCCACAGAACTCTGGCACTAGTGACAAGAGTGAGACTCTGTCTCCAAAAAAAATAATAATAAAATAAAATAAAATAGGTGTCTTCTAGTATTGGGTGCTAGAGAATTGGGAGAAAGGAATAGAAGGAAGATTTAATTTTCATAGTAAACTCTTTTTGCCATTTAAATTTTTTATCATGATATAAGGGTTGTCTGGAAAGTATCCAGCCACACATGTCTCTTATTTTTCACATTACATGGCTGAATACTATCTGGATGGCCCATGTATATATAAGTTATTTTAGAATAATAAAAGCATCAAAAATTATCCTGCTGGGCTGCCTGAGGACTTTTCGGGCACTGGAAATTTAATTCTGGGCTCTATGGTCACCTGCTGGGGCCCTCCCTGAAGTTTTGATTTGATCTTTTCCATTTAACTCTAGAACCCACAGAATGAATTCTAAAGTTCTGATAATTCTAAATTTCATCAGTTCTTTCCGAGAACCAGCTGTCTGTACCTGTCCTTCCTCAGGTCACTTAGGTCACAACATTTTCTTTATATTCCTGTCTCTATGCATGCCTGCACACCTCCTACAGTACTGCTGATGTTTGCTTTCTAAAGCAAAAATCACACCCTTCTGTAGGACGGAGCACAGGGTTAAGAAGCTAGACACTAAGGACAGAGTAATCTGGGATAAAGTCAAGAACCACTGCCGACCCTGAATACTGAAAACAATATTTGCTAGACACAGCCTAGTGTCCCAGCCCTAAGTCATATATTAGCAGAGATAAGATGTAGGCAAAACAGAAGTGCAGCAAACAGAACATGTTCAGAGTTTAATCATGCAGCTAAAGATACACTAGGTTTTTTTTTTTTTAACCTTTATTCTCTCTTGGAAGCTTTCTGCTGTGCTGAACTTTCTCATGCCTGAGACTTCAATAACAGCCAGTGAGGAACACTGGAGGGGGCCGCATCCTTGTCTCTCCTGTGGAGTGCTTGCTGGTATTGGCCCCCCGGCTCCCTCAGCTCAATGCTGATTGACTGAGTAGGTGCTATGCATTTGCATCAAGTCACGCCAACACTGCTCCTCTGTGTCTAAGTATGTATTGCTCCCTTTGCTCCCTAGATCCCTAGCTTAGGGACATAGGGTCTCTCAGAATGGACAGGTCAGTGTCGCTGGGGATAACTGGAATCTTCATCATGCCTGAACCTGTCTTTCCATTCATTCATCTATTTGCTTCCTGCCATTTTCAAAGAAAAAGTGTCTCCCTCCCTCCCAAATATGCATCTCAACATGTTATTCTTTGCACATACTACATCTCTCCCCACTCAAATACCCTCTCCTTTATTAACCATTAGGTGACTACTATCACACCTAAAGAGTCTTCTTAAATATCACCTCTTCAGAAATCTATGACTTTTCCCACAGACGGTTACTGTTCGGTTCTCTCTGCTCCCACAGTACTGGACTTATAATACCATTGGGTCCTTTATCACGCTAGATTCTAACTTTTCTGTTTCATGTTCTGCACTTCCAACTAAACACTGAACTTCTTGAGGACAGAACACAAAGCTTGTACACCTCTTCGTGCTTGGCAGAGCATCAGAGAGATGCATGGTACTTGTCCATGTTTCTAAGTAAAAGCGTGTGCATCTTGGCTTGAGCACCTATGTGCACACACACACACGTTTCTTCAGTGAAAATGTCAATGAGTTCCAATGTTACATATGTGGAAGTTAAAAAAAAACAGAAATGTAGTTTGAACCGCCAGCTGGCACCCCCAATCTCTTACCATCTTGGAATGTGTCATTAATTGCAATCACGGCCTGGAAGGGTTTGGTCAGTTCGGCCCCTTGTGCTGAGCTGAGGAAAACCACAAACGTCTCTAGTCCTTCAATTACTGGGTACTGAGTGTCATCCAAGATAGTCAAGGTGCAAAACTAAGAGAGAAATCAAAGCACACGTCACAGCGGGCCCAACACCAAATGCCCATTTGCCTTTGGGAGAACAGAACCAAGTGGCACTTTCCTTTCTTTGGTGGTCTTGAAGCAAATCTTTTGAAAATCCATAAAATGATAATTACTTTCTTACATGCTCCCAGGAGTTTGTTCTAAGTATTTATATCAAGCAAGGGAAGTCTCTATCCTAAACCTGTGATGCCATCATGTGATGTCAAAGATGTGATGTGCAGAGTTTTTAGAAGATCCTCTCATAAGTTTGTTTTCTTGCTTACATGTTTGTTTTTAAAGAAAGGAAGGATAATACATTTATGTTTTTAAAGAAAGGAAGGATAGTATTAAAAATATTACAAAGGGAGTTTAGAGTCCTCAAAAGAGCTTGGAAAATAGACTAAACACAACATTCACAGATCACTGGCCCTGTGACTCCGTGGTGCTCTGACTGTTGAATACGCACCTGCTCAGTGACACCAGGCCCGAATTCCACCTTCCTAGAGCTGGGAACGTAGTCAACTCCAGGAGTGGCAGAAGCTGGGTCTGATGGCCGTGTTGCACACCACACAGATGTGAAAGTGGACAGGTCAGTGCCATGGCGGATAACTGGAATCTTCATCGTGCCTGAATCAAGATCAATAGAGATGCCAATGGTCAACCTTCAGCCAGAAGACAAATGTCGTCCCTCACTGCAATGGTGGCAGCTTCGTCCCACTCAGCTCATCTAACCCCACTTCAGTGACTGAAGTGCCCACATCCCTTCTGAGGAAGGCTGGGAGGTGTTACTACCCTACTTTTCACTGACACTAAGACCAGACAGAGCCCTAGGGGAGGGCTCAGGGAGGTGGTGCTGGAGGGAGCCCTGGGGAGGACATTCTCGGCTTCAGAGGGGAGACTGTTCATGGGAGAACAATGCACTTCAGGGGGAAGGGTGCCCTGAAAAACTTCTCAAACCTGTTTAGGGAGAAGAAACTCAGAGAGCAGGGCCTCAGGGGTGAGCTGGAAAACAGTCAATTTAGGAGGAACCAGCTAGGGGACTCTGTGGGGCCTGAAGCTAAATGTTCCTAATTAAAAGTCCCTAACTGGGTCTATCTCCCTATTTCTTCAAAGCACATGTCATTACTTAAACCATGTATGTGCTTGTTGTTTATCTAAGGGATGAAGCTCATCTCTGGTCCGCTGTGACATCGTTCCTTGTAGTGTCCTAAAGATATTTAGTTGTTTTTACAATCAAAGTCAGAGAAAAGCTCCATGAAGACCCTATTGATCACCACATTTTATACCCAATAGACTGTGCGGTGGAATGTAGTCATGGCTACTGGGTGTGTAGGAAAGGAAACGTTCGTAGCAGGAAGGTCTGGGTTCTATCTAATCCAGCTCTGCCTCATATCAGCATCTGCATCTTTGATGAGTTCTTTAAGCTCTCTGGGCTTCCATTCACTTGTCTATATAACGTTTTCTTTCTCTCCCCTTTTTCCCCTCACCTAGCCCCAGACAAAGCCAAATATTCTATACAAGATGTCTATCTCTTCCACAGAAGATTAAGTGAAAATGCCTGGAATACACAGGGTGTTCTGCCTCGCATTCAGTAAGTGCTCAAAAATATCAGTTCCCAGTATCCCTCAGAATCCCTTTACAGAGGCAAAAGGCCCACTCAGGATCAGATCAGTAGCTGCTCAGCAAAGCTGCTGCCCC